CAGCGTTTGGCTTGTAGACTAATTTACATATGATAAAGTATTTTTGGAAGATTCATAGCAGTCACGCTATATTTACTTGTGATGATAAGCAGTCAAAATGATTAATTTAGAATAATAATTCAAGAATAGTCTCTCCTGGTTCATATGATTCTTGCAGATTCATTATTTTCATTACCCAAAAGATTATTTCCGTAAGATGCACTTTTGTAAAAAAATCCATAAAGCAGTCTCTATTGATGTGATTTATAGGTGGTATATTTCTCGCGCCTGAATACGGGAGGAATGAGAAGACCACTCGTTTCTAATCTTTTGTATTCTCCAAAAAAAGGTTATTGTGTGGGGACGAAAGGTGGAGGAATTGCTACTAAAAACTTCATATTTGGAGGGTCTACGACTACTTCCTCATTTTTTGCTTCTTTGCCTTATCCACTCAATTGACTCAAAATTTTTAAAGACATTTTCCATTAGAAGGAATTTACAAGGTTCTAATTCCAGGGTAATTATCTTATTATAACAAACTTTTAATGAGAACTTTTTTCTTTGGAATCCATTTTACTGCACTTAACATTTACTCTAATTCTAAAGAATATCACTCTGTCTAATAACGTTCAATTGTTCTGAAAAAAAATTTTAAGTTCTAAATGCTTCATTGTTGTAGATGTCGGACTCGGCTGAGCCCGTGCGAACACTGAAATGTGTCTTGGTGGGAGATGCTGCAGTGGGAAAAACGTCCTTAATAGTGTCCTACACAACAAACGGCTATCCTCAACAATATGTTCCTACTGCATTCGACAATTATTCAGGTACATTATTGAAGAATCTTTGTATGTAGTTTTAGTCATAGAAAAAATATCCATAGACCAATAGAAAATGGGGAGCAGTGGTAAAGGTTTCTATTAGGACTTCTTCATTCTGCTCAAACTCCATTTCTTTCAATCAAAGCTCTAATTTCAGTAGTTGTACGGGTTGACAAAAAGCCGATTCGACTACAGCTATGTGATACAGCAGGACAGGCAAGTAAATACATCTATTACTGGTTTTCTGTCGTAATAGTTTCCAAATGGAGAAGAAAAACTTAAATTTTCTGAAATTGCGCTATACCCTTCTCCCTACGCACCATCATGTTTGTCTCATTTTCTAAAGATTAACCCATACGAAGATTTAACAAATCTCTTTTCCTTCAAAAACTTTCCACTTTTTTTGAAAAGGATTTTGTTCTTTAGAAGAATATGACTGTGCATGGACTTTACCTTCGCTTCCTGAACCCATGCTTTATTTTATCTGTGAAAATGCGAACCTTATATGTGCACAATCAGTTTACACATGCACAATTAATTAATTAATTAATTAATTAATTAATTAATTGGTATCCAAGCATGAAAGGTAGAAGTATTGTTAAATTTAAATCATCACAACTTCAGGCTTCTGAATTTAAAAAATCTGTCTCTTTATTTCCTTAAAATCGCTATTTGTCTGTGAGCACTTTCACAAGATGGAGATATCGGATTCCGCATTTTGTGGTTTGACAAAAATTAGCTATGAATCGCAAGGACTTTTCTCTTCATCTTATCCACTGCAATAAATCAAAAACGAGGGACGGTGTAGTGAACAAGAATTAGTCTTGATAGCATCACTACCACCCAATTCCAGAGAACCAACGAAGGTTATAAAACTTCGTTTTATGCGAAAAAAAG